TGTCCGCGCCCGTATCGCGATCCCGCCTCTCCCCACGTCCAGTGTGTGTGCGTGCGTGCGAGTGAGTGTGAGTTGTGAAGTGTGCGCCGTGCTTGTGTGTGTCTCGGTCTCTCCCCGCCCGCCCGTGCCGATTGTCGTTGTCGGTGTTTCAGCGACTTGTTTATGAATGATGATTCAGGAGCATGTGTATGTCTCTCGCCGTGTCTTGGCCTTGGCTTTCGCCTCCTTTCCTTCCCCCCCTTGGCGCGCGTCGAGGCCTTCTCTTCGCATTCCTTACCTTCCCCTTCCCGTCCCGGATCTTCATAATAGAATGGCAAAGTGTATTGTCTTGTATTGCATTGTCTTGTCTTGTCCTTTTTTATTTTTTTTTCCCTTTCTTAATCTTAGCTTTCGCTTCGCCATCCGCTCGGATCTGCGCGCGCCAATGGTTTAACATCATTTATCGATGTGGTTGATCGGGACTTCTTGGCGCCAACCCAGCCCTCTTTTTAAGCCTCCTTGGCACAGCGGCAACTGACGTGATTTTACAGCACTTCAAGCCATTCGGAATGTTGTGTAGGTTGCCAAGCAATATGTTCCTTTGTCTCCCACCAGCAACCCGTGCCAGATCTACCTGCCGTCAGCCTCGGATGTGCTAGGAAAAGCTTGACCGCGTCTTTGCCCCCCTCCATCCCCGTAGCACACGGCCCGAACCCCTCGGTCTGAGGTCCCCGTCGGGTCGTCGGGGGGACGCCGTGTTCGTTGCCAAGGCTAAGGCCAAGGCCAAGTCAAGTTCCGTTTTTGATCGACACCGGCCTTGCGGCTAACATCAACACTTGGCTGTGGGTGTGGGAGCTTGTGGCGTGGCCCGTGTTGGTCACCTACTGCATGTAGCCGATATTGCTTTTTCCCTGTGTCGCATCATGGACGCCGTCGACCGGCAGTCTCTTCGGGCTGCTTCTTTTATCATCGTTGTCTCACTAACCAGAGCACAGTTTGTTGTTCAGCAATCCCATGCGGTCCAACGGTCATACCGTCCCTAGCACCATTATCAGAAATATCACTGCCCTCTCAGTACGTTATCGTGACAACTTCGCAAATCTGCCTTCAGCCTAACGTTAGTCCCCCATCAGAGCCAGATAGCATATTCAGAAACTATTCCTACAAACATCACCACTCTCTCCACTACTGATGCAATTACGACCAAAGGGACCATACAAGGTCTATTATATGTACCAGATCTTCTCTCTGACGACGAGTGCTTTGACTTGTCAAACCAATACATACCGTCGAATGCCACACGGCAAGCAAACCTCCCGCCTACAGACTACATACTCATCGCCCTTGTACCATGGATCAATTCCAGCTGTACCAAGTCTTTCTTGGGGGCCGCATCCATGGATCCCTTGAGGGCTATGCTTGTGTATCGGCCAGATGACGAGGATGGCCAACCACCTGAGGCTGACTCTGATCTATGGGATATAGATGGAAGAGGAAGCTGGAAGGATCAAAATCACTTCCCTGTCTATGCAGTTTCCAGTGGCTCGGGAGAGCGCATGATGCAGCAGCTAAGTTTATACTCCGGGGATCTGTCCGAGGTTCCTTTCGCCGACGAGATTAACAAAACATATTCCCCAAACCCCGCAGATTATGTAAGGGTCTGGACACAATTAACTGTGGTCCCTGAACCTTCGCTGCTGGCCATCTGGGCCTTGGTATTGATCATTCTGGGTGTACTTGTGGGTGTCATTGGTGGGACTTCATTGCTCATGCACTGGGTCCAGAACCGCCGACGGGCATCTCTTCGCCGCCGTGTCATGAATGGCGAGGTAAACCTCGAAGCCCTGGGCATCAAACGACTTACTGTACCACTCGCCCATATTCAAACTTACCCTTTGTTTACATACAACTACGACAACCCCATATCCCCATCGCCGAATCTTCGCAAATCTGTTCAATCTCCCGGCAAGGCATCTTTCGACTCTGCTTCTCCGTCATCTAGCTACAATCGTGGAAAGCATGGTGACCGACTGGATTATCAACCTAAATGTCAGATCTGCTTAGATGATTTTGAATCAAAGGTAACCATCATTCGCGAACTATCTTGCGGCCATATCTTCCACCCCGAATGTATCGACGAATTCTTGGGTGAGATGAGCTCGCTGTGCCCCATTTGCAAGGCATCGATGTACCCACGGGGCTACTGTCCTGTAATTACGAACTCAATGGTTCGAAGAGAGCTGAGCACGCGGAAACTAAGAACCGAGCGCGGCTTCCGGACTGATTTTCGAAGTGGGTGGCGACGGTTGTTAAATAGAAATAGCTTCGACCTTCGAGCTTCGCACGGTAGAGGCTCGATTTCTATAGAGCTTGGCACTTCGGTCCAATTGCAGAAGCAGCCCAGCCCCCCGCGCCCTACAAGACAGCGGATGGAAGAATTAGTCACGCCTATCGACGAGACAAACAGCGATGATGGGCGTCCTCAATGTGTGCTTTCCCCCAATAGCATGTTATCATGCTAAGCCAGCTAACCTCGTTGCAGGGAAGCGTGCTGCACGGACAGTATTTCCCGGTTTCTCCTGATTTGCCCAAGTCGGCTTGCATGGCACTCGTGCGGTGATTTCTTCTTTTATTAGCATTAGTTCGGCGTCGTGATTTGAAACGAAGCACTACGACATGTGCAGGGCTTGGGCTGATTTAGACCAAAAAAAGCGAGCATTGGGCGTTTGAGGATTACCAACCACCCTGATCAAAGGATGGGTTGAGATGATTTATAGATGGCGTATGGTTTGGATATACCCCCGCTTCAAATATATTGCATAATCATATTCTATGAAGATCTGTACTCTTTTTATATCTTACGAATACCACCCATTCATTGCCTTGTCTATGTGAATGCCTTCATTATCGTAAGCGGTAATCAAACAGTACCCAGATTGCTGCGTTAATCTAGAATCAATTTTAAACCAATCATCTATGGGACCAGACAACACAACAATGCGCAGCTACTCCAAGCTTAGACGATCAAGCCCGGCAGAACCCGACTTCGCGGCAGTGCCCAACCTTGGCACCGTTCGTACCGGCTATATTCTATTCGCACGTAATTATTAGATATCTCGCTATGGGATGGACGATTGTGTCAATAACGATATTAGAGATGCCTCAAAAGGAATTATCAATCAGTTATCAGGTTTCGCCTCGTTGGTACCTCTTTGGTGGTAGAAGAGGAAGAAGCCATTCTGTATGCGACGAGTTTTTGCTTCAATCTTCGCGGGAGGGGGAACGTAAGCTGAGGTCGGTGATGTTATATGATGTTTGATAATTTTCCGAACATTTGCTTAGGAGTTGGTAAGTATTTGCCCACATATAACAGCTGCATCACCATTAGTTCGTGCTGTCAGCTTGGGTACATGGACAGACAGGCAGGTAGACAGACATACCAACATACAGACAGGCAGGCATCTCCTAAGCAAGTCGACCAACTAACCCATCGACTCGAGCCATCGCCACCGTAAACCAAACCGCCTCAACTTCTCCAAAATCAGCTTCCAAGCGCCTATCCCCTCTTTCCCTCGCCTTGTCCTGCCTCCTCCTCCGCCTCCTCCTTTTCTTCTTCCTCAGCATGTCCCAGCACCCACCGCACAGCATCGACCACGTCTCCAGGCCGCCGCGAAACAACACCGTGTCCACAATCCGGCAAGTGCACGAAATGAGTCGTCCTCGAGAGCCCGAGCTGTCTGCGCTTGAGCCGCTCGTCTTCGGCGTCGACGCGCGCGAGCATTTCCCTCTCTATACATATCTCCATCTATCTCAACATTCATCTTAGCATCCAAATCCCTCTCTTTTCCTTCCAGCTCACTCCATTTCTGCAACAGACTATTCCCTTTAATAACGCACACAGGCCGCGTCCTCATGATTGTCTCGCGGATCTGCCGCTCGTCTACGGCCGGATCTAGACCCCCTTCTTGGCCCGTTTCTACGAGCACGAGGCCTAATACCCGATAACCACTCTTCTTTTTCCTTTTCCTTTTCTGTTTCCTTTTCTTCTCCATCTCCTTCCACGGCCGGATCAAATGTTCCTGTCCCTGTTCGTATTCATGCTGCACGAAAGCCCGCGCAAACGCACCACCGTAAGAATGCGCGATAAGAAGATACGGCCCGTGTAAACCATGTTTAGTTCTAATATCTCCTGCCCCGATGTTATGGACAAGACCCTCATTCTCCTCGCATTTCACACTCCCGCTTTTATTAGCAATTATAGCCGTAGCAGTAGTAGCCGTAACATAATCCCACATCTCCGCCGCGACCTCCGCAGGCCGTAAACTGCCGGGCCTGCGATCGTAGAGTAGCACGCGACAGCGCAGCGTCGTCACGAGCGCCGTCGCGAGAGCGTCCCAGGTCGGAGAACAGGTCTCGCCTGAGCCGTGGAAGCAGATGATTAGCGGCTTTGGCACATTTGCGACGCGGGTATGGAGATCTGTAGACGTGGTATTGTCATCGGCGGGTAGTAGAAGCCTGGCATGGCCCCTGGGGGGTTGCTGGGTTGTGTACGAGGCACTTGTCATAGTTGTCGTAGACGTGCGTACTATTTGCTGGACGCTGAGATGTACTGATGAGCCATGAGTTCTTTTCCAATTGTTACCAGTTCCTGAATCAGTCAGAAGGTTGCCTAGCCTTCTAGGGATATTTACTGGATGTAGTCTATGATGGGAAATGATTGCTTAAAATACGTTGATCATTCAACCATGATGGTTATTATAATGACTATTAAGCCTTAGTGCTGCTGCTTTTGGATCGCAAAGTTGTCGACGTTGAGACTGGTGAGTAGCAGTCACTGTGAGAGGCAATCCTTACACTGTCCGTCGTACCTGCTAACACTGCCATAGTGATCCATTACATTCACCAGTGCAAAAATTAACGGTGTTGATCTGTAACTAAGCTTACTTCTACGACCATTTTCGCAGCCAAGGAAAACCAAAAAAAGGTTCAATGCTCTCACAAGAGAGAGAAATTGACAGCCATGGACACACAGGGAATTGAACCCCGGACCCCTCCCAAATCACAGTGAATTTTGTTATGCGAAGGGAGTATCATACCACTAGACCATGTGCCCGCTACTCCGATCACGTCGGGGAATGACTCCAATAGTTGTAAAGTCTCTCTAAAATTACCTCATTATCAAGTGATATCTTAGCCACTGCATCTAGGTAGATATTCTTAAAGTTAGAAGTTCAACAGTATATTTTTAGGCGAAATAAGGATACACATAGGGGATGTTCTACAATAGTCATGAGTAGTCATGAGTCTATGGCGTACCTAGCTTCTACTGCCGCAAACAGCAAAGGCCTATCCTACTGATGATAGATAAAAGAACGCGCTCTATACTCTACGCTCAATGGCAGATGACAGATACCAAGACTGGCCCAGTGACCTGCTGTCTTGTTGTGTCTATTAGTTACTACGTGTAAGTCTTCGATGGTCCGAGGATGAAGAGTTATGTATCCGGACAATCCGGATAATACCTATGCAACCCTGAAGCTGGCATGGCGAATACCTACTTAGGGCGCTATACTTGGTGTTGCAGGGCTAGATACAGGTGCTAGATATAGGTGTCTTGGCAGGGTTCAGGTGCCTATTCTAGCGCCTGGCCACGTTGATTGATTGAGCATGGCTCTTCCTTGCCTAGCAAGTCTTGGCCTGCCAAGCTTCCCATTTCTTGGCTTCATTCCTTAACGTAAACATAACCCTGTTTGTTTTAGCCTAAGTGCTACACTACGCACTACGCATCCCTTGACTGCGCCAGTTCAGCTTCTTTATTCGCTGCGCTCATACAACTTTAATATCTAGTGTCATAATAGTAATAGTACCTTATCCTGCCTGCCTCGATGCGCCGGCAGCAGTCGCCTTGGACTATCCGATACGGTGGCACCGTGAGAGGAAGCAGAGTCATCGGCAGCATCATCCCAGCTCGGGTCACACAGGAGCTGTGCTGTCCATGCTCGCCGAGGATGTGGCCTGGCAGATTCGAGACCAACCCTTGGACGCCATGACCCCAATCCTCCGCCGCAAGTCTCGGGTCGTGCTCGCGCTGCTGCTCGTCCTCCTCGTCTATCTGCTCGTCGGCCTCGTTCCCGACACCAGCGACGTGCTCTGGGGCTTCGTCTACGTCCGTGATCACTACGACTGGTCGCAACAGAAACAATTCTATCCCGTATCCGAATACACTCCCTTACCGACCGGTCCGCCCCTATCCCTACCCGCAGTCCAGTATGCGTTCAAGGTAGACAAGAGCCCCGAGGGCGTCGCGCGGGAGGCCGTCCTGGCATCGCGGCGCAGCGAGGTGAAGGAAGCCTTTGTCAAGAGCTGGACGAGCTACAAGAACGTTGGCTTCGGATATGACGAGCTTTTACCCATGTCCGGAGGGGGATACGACGAGCCCGGCTTTGGCGGATGGGGTGCCACTCTCATCGACTCCTTGTCGACCCTCTGGATAATGGACCTCCAGGAGGAATTCTACGAAGCCGTTGCCGCTGCCGTCACCATAGACTATTCCAAGACGAAGGACACGTCTTGCAACTACTTCGAAACCACCATACGCCACCTTGGCGGCCTACTCAGCGCGTACGACTTGAGCCTGGAGACGGCGCTGTTGGAGAAGGCCATTGAGCTTGGTGATATGCTCTACATGGCATATGATACCCCCAACCGCATGCCTAGCTTCTGGTTGGACTTTGAAGATGCCAAAACGGGCCAACAGGTTGCTGAGACCCGTGAACCTTCAGCCGCCGCTGCATCATCATCTCTCGAATTCACACGTTTGACGCAACTAACTGGCGACAACAAGTATTATGACGCAATCAATAAAGTGACGCAAGTCTTAGACGATTGGCAGAATAGGACAAATCTTCCCGGGATGTGGCCTACCTACTTCGACCTGCAACGCATAGAGTTGGACTCAGATAGCAGTTTCACCTTGGGTGCCTCTGCCGATAGTCTTTATGAGTATCTTCCCAAAGCATTCGCTATACTCGGTGGGCTCGAGCCTGTCTACGAGAAATTATACCGCGGGGCAATGGATACAGTGATTAAGAACATCTTATTTCGACCCAAGTTGCCAGATCAAGCCGATATCCTATTCTCGGGCAACGTCTGGGTCTCCGGCCAGGGTCCGAGTCTCAACGCTCAATCCCAACATCTCGGTTGCTTTGTTGGTGGCATGTTCGGGCTCGGCGGAAAGCTCTTTCAGATCCCGGAGCATGTCGAAATTGGCGAAAAGATTACGAAGGGTTGCGTGTGGGCATACGACGCCCTGCCGGCCGGCATCATGCCCGAAGTCTTCAGCCTAATCAAATGCGAAAGCTTAGAGCCGTGCGAGTGGAACCAAGAGGAATGGGAGGTTGTCGGCAACACGAACCTGAAAGAGGGTATCAGAAGCGTTCAAGACCCCCGTTACATCCTTCGACCCGAGGCTATCGAGAGCGTATTCTTAATGTACCGCATGACCGGGGATAGCGAGTATCAGGAAATGGCATGGAGAATGTTTCAATCGATTCGTAATGCGACAGAGACGGACCTGGCTTTTTCGGCGATTCAGTCTGTTAAGGTGACTGAGACGGTAAAGACCGATTCCATGGAGGTTCGTAAATCATCTCTCCGACAAACACACACCACATATGATGGCTTGCTCACTAACTTTTATGTAGAGTTTCTGGCTGGCCGAGACTCTTCGGTATTTCTATTTAATATTCTCGTCACCAGATCTGATAAACTTGGACGAGTACGTCCTAAATACCGAAGCTCATCCGCTTCGACGGCCAATTCCTTGAGCCGCAGTAATTTTTGCAAGCAGCAGTATGTCCCAGGGAGGTTGGTTAATTGACGGCGAGAGAGGGACAGCTACGCTGGATTACTGAACAATCTTTTATGATTAATGATGCATAGAATAGCGTTGGATATAGCGCATCCAGCACTGCTTACCCATATAGATCGGTCACTGTCAATGCGATCAGTTTATACCATTCAGCGACGCATGTTTTCTGTTTGTGCCCTGTCCAGATTGGGTAAGAACAAGGTATCCTTTTACGAGAGCGCTTCGCACGTTATGCCCTATATACAGTGATATAGGAAGCAATGGCTCAAGACTAGCCAGCGCACAATACACATTCATTGGGACGATCGAAACCCTTCGCAACAGACCTCAGCTAGTTTCATACCTCTACAAATATACTAATCGCACCCACATATTCATATTTCCCATATCACAGCTGTGCAGGGCACATTGCCCGCATTGTGAAGCGCACTAGCCTAACAATGCGTGGCAATTTACGCGAAGTTGGGAAGTTCATCGAACCCCCTAAGTATATCGTTAAGGGGCGAATACTTGACCTCTACGATTATTCATGTGCGAGGACACAGGCGGTTTTGTTCAGTACTAAAAAAACATTTCCATTCTATTCCCGAGTTCCCCCGCCGGGTTGAACCTCTCGATGGATTTCTGTGTAGCATTCTCTCTTTATAAGTGCCTACTAAGTCAGGCAACTAAGTTCGCAGATCAAAGGATAGGGGGGTCTCTCCTTTCTTCCTTCTCCCTTCCTTCCTTCCTCCCTTCCTGTCGTAAGTATGCTTATCGATCGGGCTTTGCTGAGGAGCAAGATAGAAAACAAGCTGTGCCGCACAGCTACGTTTTTGAAAGTATTTGTATAAAACTTTAAAGCCAGTTGATTTCCTCGATAACACCTGTTGTAGGTAATCGCCACCTGCTGTGTAACGTCGGCTGTGAACGTTAGGAAGAGCATCCATCCCGGCTTCCTATGTTGTAGCGTGTATGCATGCAGTGCAACTGCGGTTTGCCTCCTCCTACTACTACTACGTCGCTGATCCGCGCAGGGACGTGATGGCCTGTTCCTGTAATGATGGCGAATATGCGGTTGCGTCGTTTGACGAAATACGTATAAGGAAGCTATCATCATAATCTCTCTGATTTTTGCAATAAAACAATGCTGGGTAAGTATCCTGCGACATCTCTATGGACGAGCCTCGCCAATTAAACCTGCCCTATGACAGCTGTGTATCTAGGACTTGGGTTATTTATTTCTTCTCACGACTGGTCGACGGCTGCTTCTGTTACGTTGCCATTTCTATTCCTGTGACATTGTCGCGACTGCGAAGGTTGCAGAATATACTGTAATGCGATATCTGCGGCATTGAACTCGACATCGTACTGTAAGCATTCCATCAGACTGACGCGACTCGACAGCCCGCCAATCGAGCCTACCATTCATTCGAGAGTCTGGCTCTTTCGCGCGAACGTTAACCTCGGCTCGTCCGTATCACCGCAGTGATAAAAACCAGTATGGACACGCATTTATCTCATCATAGGATCTCCCTCTCCAGCGCGGAAATACCAGAGCATGATCGAATGAGGGCGGAAGCAGATACGACCAGCAGGAATGCTTCCGTTCCACCCGTCCAGCACTCGCTTCTATATGCTACGCCAGAAGCTTCTGGTGTACACCTTATCTACGCCACTAACAAGCTAGGAACCATGTTGAAAATCCCGCGGCTCGCTTGTTTGCCTCACTCTACACTACACGTGTATGAGTATACTCAGTCGTGAAGTAGAATGTAGTGCACTGTCGTAACAAGCTAGCTTAGAGTAATATATCCACGCCAAGCTGCACCACGCTACAGTAGAGGGACTCGCAGGATCGTGAACCCGGACGCGGTCGGACGGGCAGGACCGAGAGAAGGGTGGAGGCGGCCTTTTTTTTAGTCTAGACAAGGGGACGGGATCGTTTCCCAGTTCGTGGGTTTTTTTCTCCATAGTTGCCTCATGGGCACGGATGGATCAATGGATGGATTCTCAGGTGCAGGAATGGGCACGTAGTGTAGTGTAAGGATTTCCATAATTACGGGGTATGCAGAATGCGTCCAAGTTTGTGTGGCGGCGCTGCTATCGTCTCATCAGTCTGTCGCCAACATTGCAGGGAGAAGGCGGCGATTTCAATACAGTCTAAATGAAATTCAGCTCGTGCTGACTGTGCTTCAATGAATAAGATAATTGAGATTCGACTTCGATCAATCGTACCGTACCTATATTTCATCACCCATTGC